TTATTATATACATATAATACAATCGTTTTAACTTATTCGTCGTGCATTTGAAATTAGCGATGGATCATTACAAAAAAAGGCTAGCTTTGAAAAATAATGGTGGAAAAGTAGTTCAGAATTTGTTGTTCATAAAGTTGACAAGTAAGCCATTATTTGTTCTATAAAGTTGCAGTACATCGTCCACTTTAGCTATTTCATTTTGCCAATAATTAAATAAGGTAGCTTCTAAATTCAAACGTCGACTTTTTCAGTAGTGTAAAAGATATGAGTGAGGCAGTTTCAACTGAAGTGGCAGTCGCAGTGTAAATATTCGATTCCTACCTCTTATAAGGTATGGAATTGAACTTTTTATGGGCACCAGTATGGCAACTATTGTACCTTGACCTGTTGAGGCACATCCCGCGATTTACCTCCTCCACAATATTTTAGGGACGGGACAGCAAGGAGCCCTCAAGGTTGGGGTTCAACCTTTTAAATTCAAACGTCGACTTACTGGTAAACAATAATTGGAGACTCGAGTGATATATAAAATTTTGAGAGACACTTTTTTGGAAAAATAAAAAAAGTCAGGAGAAAGCACATGAATTGTCTATACTACAATATTTTTGGAGATCAAAAAAGACTCGAATGACAGTAAAATGACTGTATACAGATTCTGAAAAGGGAAAAAAAATAAGAACAAGCCAAATTTTGGGGCATATTCATATACCTAAAAACGTTACGTTGTCTGTTGTTTTAATGAATTATTAATTCGTAAAAAAGGAGAAAAAAAAAGAGCAAAAAACTTGTTCTGAAGTTCGGACATCTTAGGTGATACTCATCATTTTGGATCTTTGGAGGTCGTTTCACTTGTTTACAATTACTTACTATCCACACATTTTTTATGTCGCGCAACTATTAATTATTCAAACTCTAATTTCATTACGTCCCAAATATGCGCAAAGTGTGTCCATAAGAATTCTCTTTTTACGTAAAATTCAATTGTACTCTTCATGCTTGGATTTATGAACAATGAATAATCAATATATTTGAAATGATGAACTGCGCTCACGAGTTTTGCAATGGTGACATGTCCGATCAATTTAACAAGTGCACACTATAAATTTACATCAATTATTCGATATGTCATATTTAACATAAGCTAAGCAATGATAAATAATAAATTATTTCTCATTTAGTACACTATTTTAAACACAGTTAAATTAAACAATAAATTAGATTGTGGATATCTCTTATGAATAGTTTTATAAATAAAGTAGAGTTTATTTATACGGAAAAGTCACAATTGAGGCTCAAGTTGCATGTCCTTTATATGGAAAAGTCACAATTGAGGCTCAAGTTGCATGTCCTTTAGTGCTGGACCAATAAATCATTTGTCGTCGAATTTTTCTCTAGCTACTTCCTATGTTTTAAAATACGTGATATTTTAACGTAAAATGACGTGCAAATAATTAGTTGATAGACAGTAAATTAGACAACAAAAATTGAACAGTAAATCTCAAATGAGATGGGAAGCATTGTTCCAAGAAGAATAGTGGTTGTTTGGTATTGCAGTCCCACCATTATAGTACCCACCTCCCATCACTTGATTCCTCGCCTTCTAAATTGACTCTAAATAATTCTTAAAATATTAAAAATGTCAAAATAGTTATCTGATCAACAATTTTATTAGTTTGAGATCATTAAAGTTTTGATAAATAATTTTTTGACATTTTAAAGGTCTATTAAATCTTTGCTTTCAAAAAGCATGAATATTAAAAGCATGATTGCACATAAGAGTATCAACTAGTTCAAATCACTACTTGTTGAAATTGTTAAACCAACTTAAATATTCAAGATTTTAATTGCATGATATCACACACACAAATTTGATATGGTGTATGCCAAATTGATTTTTTTTAAAAAAAATTAAGTGGGTCCCTAACAATTAATGAATTGGTGAGTAAGCAAAACTACATCATATGATTGGTGAAATAAGTTTGCCCTGACGCAAGTTTTGAATGTAATAATTAATTTGATTGGGTATTTTGTCAGTGTGTAAGGAATTTTTAATCCTTATGTTCCCATGAACCACAGCATTACGAGCTGACTTTATAAAGTTGATCGCAAATTAAGATAAATTGAGTGTATGTAACAATCGGTTTTAATTAGGTCGCAGGTCGGATGTTAACATGTAATATTGATTTATGGAGGATTAAATGTCACTTATTGTACTTTAAATGCAAGTGAAGACTCAATTCTAAAAGATAAAATTTGAACTCAACTTACTTTTTATTTGCCCAGAAACTTATTCAAAACTAATTTTTAAATGGTACATAGTTAGGATTGAATTTGGCAAAAAAATGACAATGTGGAATCGAGGTAAAACTGTTGAATCACTTAATATTTTTTTGATTTTATTGTGAAGACGCTGCGAACTTAACTTCTACATTGTCAATTTCTTTCACATGAGAATCCGATTTCATATTATTAAATAGATTGAGAAACCAAGACTTTTACAAAGTTAAATGAAGTGATTTTCCACCACCTACAATGTCGTGAATCCCAGCCTAATTCCCTATTTTAAATTTCAACGATAATTGGATTAAGCTTTAACATGGTTACTTACTTTCTACAACTGTTTGACCTCATTTTATGGGAAAAAATATGTTTTGAAATAGTTATTAATTGAAAAATACATTATTAAAAAGAATTTAAATTTACGTTTAAAATTATTTCAAAATGAGTTTAAAAAAAGGAATCCAGAATATGTTCAATGGTCAAATATAAGCTCAAAATTACTGACTTTGTCATATCACAACTTAAAACATGGCTGATCTCATTTTACGTACATCACCTACTGAATAGTAATTACAAACGACATAATTAATAAAAATAAACAGACAAAAGAAAGGTCCTAAAATTAATAAAAAATAAAAAGGATTAAATCACCATGCCAGATGAATTGTGACATAGAGGTTGATAGAGTGTTGTCAAAAATTCGACAATCTAAATCGAAAGAAGAAATAAAATGAACAGAAAAAGAAATAAAGTAGTTGAAGCGATGTACTCCAAAATAAATCCCTTTAAGACAGATTTAGCCTCCCCTCAATAAAGTACAAATGAGATTATGGACGTCTGTCTCCCAAAATACAACACTTCTTTTAAGGTCGATACTGCAAAATATCAATCTTGTCGATCGAACTAAAAATTGATCGTACTTGAACGGAATAACCACGAATATATTTGAAGGAATTTTTGCAGAATATTGAGAGAGAATAAATTTAGAAATCAATAATATTTAATTGATTTGGTGTATTGAAAACGAATCTGCGGGTCTCTATTTATAAATATTGAAAGTGTATTATTGTATGGGTGTATGACATTTCATAAACTGATGCACCACTTGGTCGATTCGTCTTAGCCATTGGATCACACAATTTCATGATCTGACTACGCAGATAAAACCATGAAGTGTAGTGTCCATTCATCATACTTATTCACCAGACATGCAGATGTCATGCGTAAATCCAATTGAACCACTGCCATGTAGGACGAAATGACACCACATGTTTTGTGTGTGCCATCTAGGATGCTAACTCATCGAGTCTCTCGTTGCCATGTCTCGAACCACGAGTCCATTTTCAAAAACTATAAAGCTCTCCAGCTCCTCGAAGTGCACAATGCACTTTTAAAGTGCCCAATGCGAACTTTACTAAGTGCGCGAGTGGTACATAGCACCACTCTAGTGGTTGCTAGTCCGTTAGCTTTTGGCTAGCCAAAGTTAGCTAAATTGTACGTCACTTATTAAATTATATCTTATTCATACATATAAACAAGTCCTTTTTTTTTTTGTAAACTTTCGATGTGAGATTCATAACCATATATAAGACACTTAAAATGGATTTATCATCTTATGTACCTATATTAGAGACTTTTTCAATCCACTTAAATTAATTGTAATGGTCACATCATTAAATATCATATTAAATAATTTAATTTAATTAAATTCAATTAATTCCAACATAGAGTCCTATGTGAATGGAAATGGTTGGATGGATACGATAATCGTGTTTGAAATAGTTCAATGAAAAATTGATATGTGATATTGTATAAATTTATTTGTCGACCAAAATATCACTAAAGTATGATTTAAAAAAAAAAAAAACGTAGGTCACAGTACAAGGACTCTGGAGTCTGTAGTACTCCCTTGATTATTACAACCTGGCTGTAATCCACCAAACCACTTACAGGTTGGCCACCCTCAACCTGCTCTTCCATCCAAAAACATCATCTTGATTTGATGCATCCTCGTGCTTAAGCCCTTGTTTTACTATTATTATTTTAAAATTCTTTAATCCTTACACTCATTTTAAGCACATATTTAGATAATAAAATATTTTACATAAAAAATTAAATTTTTTTCAACTTTTTAACTATACATTTTTCAAAAAATACCATTCGAATCTTCATTTCCTCAAAATAATGACCATCAAACATGAGTTAAATTAACAATAAATATTCTTGAATAACTTTTTAAATAAAATACGGCTCCTATTAAGTGGAAATTAAAATAAAATTTTTAGTAGATTTTGATAAAAAAAATAAAAATAAAATATTTGGTTGAAATGCTGCGAATCATATAAAATATGCAGTTAAAATCAATTATTTGCTATCAGAATTAAAATCTGAATTTTAATCCATATCAAGACAAGATGTCACAAGAATTGTACCAAAATCAAGAACTTAAGTAAATTTTGAATAACCTCATCAATAGCTTCTCCACTTGACTTTTATATGTATAAAACAACTCGTATTAAAAATTTAAATTTAAATAAATAAATTTCTTTACGTTAGTTTGAGTTGATAAGACTTTTTTAAAGCTTTTACTTTTTACTGTTGAATTTTGTTTAAGTTCAGACGCGACAATAATACACTACTCCTCCTCCAATGTATATATATAGCTTTCTCTAGTTCCTTCGATATTCACTTTTCATACACAACAAAGAGAGGGTGAAATAATGGGTATATGCAGTTCCTGTGAAGCCACCTCTGTAGCCACAGCAAAACTGATATTATACGACGGAAAATTACAGGAATATCCATATCCTGTAAAGGTTTCTTATGTATTACAGCAGAACCCTACGTATTTCATCTGTAATTCCGATGAAATGGATTTCAACGACGTGGTTTCAGCGGTGAGTGACGAGGAGGAATTGCAGCCGGGTCAGCTTTACTTTGCTCTGCCATTAAGCCGATTGAAGCATCGGCTTCAGGCGGAGGAAATGGCGGCATTGGCCGTGAAGGCCAGCTCGGCGTTGGCCAAGAATGGTTGCAGCGAGAATCAGCTGAAGCCGCCGTCGAGGAAAGTGGCGGACGGTCACAGTGGAGATACTGAAAGTAGGATGAGGAGGAGTGGTAGTGGCGGTGGTGGGAGGAGAGGGAAGTATGAGGCAATGCTGAGTGCAATACCTGAATAGGGGTATTTCGGGAAATGTAGGTCGGAAATTCATTTTGTAAATGTTGTAACGAGTCGAATGACTGATCATTAGTTAATTAATTAGAATTACTGAGTGGTTAAAAATGGCCTTTATTTCTTCTCTCTCTTGCCATCCGTTAATTAATGCCGTTTGGTTACAGTTTTGGCCCTATACAAGTTTATCCCAATCCTACGTCCTCCGCTTCGCATGCTACTGTCTGGACATTATGACCATATTCCCATCGAGCAACTAATTATTTTGGGAAAAATATATCTTTCAAAATAGTAATGTTTGAATAATTCGTGATTGAAAATTAGGACAAATTTTGAATTTGCGTATAGTATTATCTCATAGAAAAATGTGTGATCAAAGACGAGTTTAGAAAAAAAAATAATGCTCCTTGGACATACTCAATGACAAGGATGGAGATGACAATGTAGTGTACCAGACAATGATTGGTTGTTGGTTTTTTTTTCCAAATTGTCTAATCATGTATTGACACGTGTCTCATCTATTATATTGAACCTGTCATTGAACTAGTCAATGCAGCAAGATCGTAGAAAAATGCTCTTTTAGAAAAAATGGATCCCAAACATATAAGAATCAGTCTAGACTTACAGGGGTCTGCTTCGCCAGATTACACGCATAGAGGGTAGGGCTACAAATTTTTTTTAAAAATACATTGGGTGGGGCCTGCTACAGCATATAATATATTTGTACAATCATTGATGACAATGTATGAGTTGTCAAAAAATTATTCATTGCAAAAACAAGTTATTTTTCAAACGACAATTACCCACTTGACATGTTGTCATTCATGATTATACATCAAACATGATTGCCAACAAATTAAATGAACAATTACATTCTTCATGAGAGAAATAATTTAGAAAATATCGACGACATGACACACCAATTTAGGGGTAGATAACAAATTCAATTTAAATATTGAAATTCACATAAATTTATCTATCAATAAATTGATGTCATGCCATCAGTATTTAGCTTATTAGTACTTAATAGATCATAACTAAATGTACCAAATATAACACTTAGGCTAGCGATATCTGATAAATTGAACTGAATAATACTGAATGCTATTAAGGTCCTTGTTTGTTTTGAAAAAAATAAATAAATTTTAGTAAATTTCGATAAAAATTGATGAATTTTGTAATTGAAAATTTGTGGGTATTGATTAAATTAGATTTTAATCCAATTTTTTTAGTTGAAAAAAATAAAATTTAAATTTATCAATCAAAATGAGATAATCGAGGGAAGGAATAGAGAAACGTTGGACCTATGGAGGTTCGAGGATGCAGCGAGTATAATAGGTTAAAGCTGTGGAACGACTCTTTACAGCTGGATGGGTAGATTGGACTCTCGAATGTCCAACAATTATTATGTAATGTTGACATTGCCTTTCGTGATTTTTAAGAAGATAGATGTAGTTTCTGTTTGATTGTCACTTTTTTAACAAAAAATTATTATTTTGAATAATGAATTTTTATGAAATGTGTAGTTAAAAAATAAAGAAAATTTTTGAATTCACATTTTTCATCCATAAAAATGAAAAATATGACCGCTATCCATCATATCAAACCATCAATTTTGAATTTCTATTTCTTGTGTGGGGTCAAATAACGACTATATTTTTCATTCTCAAATTATTTTATTATATGAACGTATGGTTAAAAATAAATAAGAAAAGAATTTTCAAAGGATGAAAGACGAAAGTGGGTGTAATTTTTATGTAATAACAGTAAAATATTTTCTTTTATTAATTTTTATGTAATATCTTGTCACCGACTTGTTTGAACCTTATTTCGGCATTAAGGAGATTTTATTTATAACCTCACTTCACTTGCGGTCACATCCATCTAAGTAAAATAAAAAGGAGAACCTTTATATATATATATATATATTACCACCAATGCTGTTCATCAAGGAAATATTTGGCCCCTATTTGGTTTAATTGAAAATTAAGGATATATTCTCTTTACTGTTTTCAGGTTATTTTTAATTTTCAATTGTCGAAAATATTGAAAACACATTTACTTATTTATTTTCATAAACGAATTTCCAAAAATGAGTTTAAAATTTACAAAGAAAATAGTAAACCTAAAAAAAAATCGGTTTGACTGTTTTCAATTAAAACGAAGTCAAAAGTTCATTTTTTTTTTAATTTTTGAAAACAATTTTTTAAAATGACAAAAAAAGAGTTTAAAATTTACCAAGAAAAAGGAAACCGCTAAAAAGGCCGTTTTGGCTGTTTTCAGTTATAACCAATTTAAAATTTCATTTTTTTATTTTTGAAAACAATTTTTCAAAATGACAAAAAGAACGCGTTTTTAGAAATTTCAAGATGGACACTCAAAACACAGCCCGAAATGAATTCAAAACTCAAAACAAAAAACTGAAACACGAAGAAAATATCTCATAAGTTTTTAGTAAATTTTGACAAAAATTGATGAAATATGCGATTGAAAAATTTATAAAAATTGTAAATCTCATAAAATATATGATCGGAAGTGAGTTTGAGAAGAAATAAAATTTACTAGATAAGATAATTGTTAATAATTAAATTTATTTTTACTTATAAAGACATTGTCAATCTTAAAACAATCGTTACATAGAGCCCACGTAAGAACTTTTCTCATTACTTTCAACAAACAGTCTCAATTATTTGCTCACCGCCAAACTCTTTTCAAAAAAGATACTTTTTAGACTTTTTAGTCTTGAAAGTATGTTCGGCCAAACTTCTTGTTTAATTGTTTGCATCAAATTGGTGCAACTTTCACGGCATTTTGTATAGTCTTTTTCAATCATCACATCAAATATTAAACCAAATGAATAGTATTTTCTTTATTTTTTATTTCTCAACAATTAAGTTTTGAAGAAATTATTTAATTACAAATTACTAAAATTATTAAATTAAAATTATATTTATGAACTAAAATATATTATTTATTTAAATATGGTAATGAGTAAAAGTGAAAAATCATTAATAATTTAATATACTGACAATGTACTTATAAAATGACAAGTGAATATAATGAAATCCACTAGCTACTAATTTATTTGGATTTAGCAGAGACGACGTCGGTTTGAGGTCCCCTCTTTTATTTCCAAACGTCGAGTTGGCTTCAAATCATAGAGGATGTGAGCCAGCTGCCAGAATCCAATGCTGCACGTAAACCCAAGTGAAATTGGTAATTTTTTTTGGCCTTTTACAATTGTGGTATATGTAGATAGTAATTTATCAATATACGATGAGACGAGATTTAATTGGATCAAAATCTCATTGAGTTATTTGCTGCTTCTACAACAATGCGGCACCCTCATTCAATTATGGCAATAGCGAGTTCATGATGATGAGCATAGACTAACCCCTCAAAAATGGTCACATGCTCAACAATATGAGTGACGAAGCCGTAGAAGTTAAGAAAATTAGGACTCCTTATTCCAATAAAAGTGAATAATGAAATTACATAATAAATGTGTTTATATAGAGTCACTAGAAAATATTGAAAACGGAAAACCTACCAATAATAGGAAATCAACTAACAATAAGAAACAAGTAAATAAATAATAAAATAATCTAACAGAAACCTGTAAAATACCTGAATTTGTAGATAAAAAGTATGTTTGATAAATTTAAATTATAATATAAACTTTGCCAAAAGTGCACTTATAAGGAGATATTTTAACTGAAAAAATTAAATAGTAATTATATTTTAATTTGACTCTCAAAAAAAATTATATTGTGATTTGACCATTAAAAACATAAATATTTTGAAAAGTTATCCTACATTTTTCTTTTTTTATTAGGTATGAAATGACACAAATTTGATAAGTAATAGCTTTAACAAATTCTTCCACGAGAGAGAGAGAGAGAGAGAATTTTAATATCATTGAATAATATATGTTAGGATTTAACTCTACAAAAATAAAAAATATATTAAAAATGTAGACTGAAAAGTTTCCTAACATAAATTTTATAATTATCAAAAAAAGATAGTTAATACATATATTTAGTTTGTAAATTTATGTGTAGAACATTATAATGTAATCTTCAATATTATTGAGAACATATTCAATCTCCATAATTAGAAATATAATCTCTATCTTAGTTTTAGTGAACCAAAATAAAACTTAAGGCCTTAATTCATTCATGATTTCAGATTTTTTTTTTTCAAATATCGTACAATCCACTCATCGTATTTTCCGTAAAATTGGATTAAATATATAAAATTGATTAAAATCTTATTTATTATTCGATAAGTCTCGATTATTTATTTATAATATTCATACAAGTGGTATAAGTTGGTCCATTCAAATCGGCACAAGTCAAACCTCGAATTTATCGTAGCATTTAGCAAAACCCTAAACTAGGTTTTCTTTTTTATAGATTGTAATGTTGCCTTTAATTTGTACTTTTTTGTAGGGTTTCCAAATTCCAATCCCGATTGCAATTTGCATGTGTAAACAAGTTGCTAAAAAGTCAGCAAATTACTTTTTGAAATTAAGTAATTGTCATCAATAGTTTGGCAATGACTTTGCTAACTAAGAACCAAAAAGGGCAAAATAGTACCTGAACTAAAAGGTAAAACTAGGACTGAATTTATTTCTTGTTTTGGTCTGAACCGTACGGAATAGTTTTATTATGAACTAAGCCTTGAGGTAAAATGGTATACCATATAGAACATAAAAGGTTAATCTATAATCTATTAAATATGGCATCAAATGAGAATCATTTTTCTGACGATTTTAACTCTATTACAAATAATTTATTTTAATAATGTCTCATTTTTCATTTTTCAGTATATAATAAATGCTACAAAATCATTGTAATATATGAATTTCATGTTATTTATTCTCAAGTAATCAACATTCACATTAATCTAAATTCAATGAATTTTGATCTACATGAATCTAGAATTATTATACATGAATTTATTTCTATTCATGTATCTAAGAATTTTAATCAATATTTAAATTCATGTATTAACAATTAATTTCTATGTATCAAATGTCGAATAAAAAAGTTGTTCATTTACAGTATTTCATCATCACAAAAAATTTAAATTATAGAAATTGAATTTTGAGTTTTTTTTTAAAAAAAACTTTCTATTCTAAATTTTATTTTTCTTTAGTTCGTTTAAGACACATTAGATCCTCCCAACATATTAATATCAAATATTACTTTTACACCACTTATAAAATATTTCAGAATAACGTATAATACACGTTCGACTCTGACTAATTTATGTATAAGAACAAATTTTGATTAATCGTGAGAAAGTTCTAGCTGGGGTTTCGAACTTTTAAACCTCTTCACAATGGATCACGAACCTTCCTTTTGTTAATGGACGAGCATGACTATTTTATTGTTAAAAAGTCAAATTACTTTTCAAATACCATGGTCATTGTATCTTTTTTTAAAATACAAATTGACATTGTCCATCAACTAAGGTTGACTCTAGCACACTTTCAATAGCTAAGAGATCCGGGTGTTACAAATAGAAAGTTTAGGACCCCATTATCATATGGTTTAAAGGTTAAGGACCCCAGTTGAAATATTCCCTTTAATGTTCAATGTATATAATACACCCCTGGCCTTCTTGTTAAAACTATTCATAAAGTAACTATAACTAGACTGTCCCTCTTTGTTTGAAAGGTGGAGTGTGAATTGAAAAATGAATCAATATGTGCATTGAACTCTGAAATGATCCATGAGAATCATATCTGGACATCACTCCACAATAATTCCACCATCTAGTGAATGCAAAAGTTATTGAGATTTGAAATTTTATTTGTCATATATATAAAGAAAGTTGCACCAAACATTTCAGAATTACAACATCTGATGTTCTGTAATAAGATATTACAAACAATGGGACATGCTTGTTCCCACCCACCCACCGCCACCCCAAGAAAAAAATGAAAAGGTTGTGTACTATAAATCCACTTGCACTCTTGAATAGATTATTGTAGACAAGATCATGTCCTCTTAATTTGTCTGTATATTTTTCAATGTTTGTGTTGACCCCAGAAAATGGTTATAACTCGTGGCCAACAGAAAATAAGAGATTCGCGTCTTTGTATATCGAATCACAATATACTCGAAATTAGCAACTAGTTATATTGATGAATCAATGAAGGGAATGATCCACAACATTTTATAGGTTGTTGTTATAATTACTTCGTGCCTAAAAAAAGGGGTTGGACGTTGAGTCTAGTAGAGAGAATCAATGTTTACTTTGGATGTGTAAATTTGCATTGCCCCTTTAACGTATGGAGTGTAGGTTTTTTATATCTCATGTTGGTTGAATGGGGTTCGTCCAATGGTAAAGGATCTAATGGTTTTCATTAGAGTTAATCAATCAATCAGACCATTAATGCTTAGACCCCTTTATCTTTTCCTCTGACACAGGATTCGACAGTGTAGATGTATAGGGGCAGCACCAGCAATGTGTTGCCTTGTCAATTGTATCCTTAGGTCCATCGTTGGTTGACTTATTGCCTCGCCAAGGATGAGTTTATGGCGGAGGCCTCTGTCATCATAGGGTTGGATGAGCAGCTTCGAGTTGGGTTCGCTTCTGTGCACATAGTATTGGGTCGCCTACTATCCACGTGGCATGTTTATTTTACGATCGTAGCATCTAAAATACCATATATTCCTGTATATATTCTTATAGGTTTCTAAAATTCGATCGTAGCATCTAAAGTTTCAAACCCTCTTAACTGGCACAAGTTTGAAGATTTGAAGTTGGAAGATACTGAGATTACACTGTGAGTGCACTTAAACATTTTTTAGTTATAGCTGAAATAGTTTTATGACCTATAAAAATTCTATTGGCTCTAGAACTAAAAAACGTCTGGTGGTGTCTTCGTGCGCACATGGAAAAGGTCTTCGTATGGCACGGAGACATCATGTCGGTCTCCGTGAGCATGGAAACAATTTTTTTTTTTTTTTTACTATATTGCTAACAATAACATTTTCACTAAAGTTCAGCTAACATTTTGAGATACATATTCTTTTATTAATCTAAAATTGTCCGGAATAATTAGAAAGGAAATTGAAGAGAGGTGTGTATAACAATATGTAAAGAGTACTGTTATTCATAGTCGTTCACTGCGACAATCGTCCTACGTGGCACATACATGACAAGTAGTTATTTAATACATTAATGTGGTGATTTTTTACCACATTAATGCATCAAACACACACTTGATATGTGTTTGCCAAATGAGGCGACTGCCACAGTGAACGACTACAAATAACATTATTCATGTGTGTAAAATGTTGTCGCAACTGCCACATTAACATCATAATAAATTGACTCTTAATGACCACGGTATATATACGATGGTTAAGGTATTATCCCCTCTTTATATTCACTTGCAACCATAATGTAAAGGTCGAATAAACGATAACATAAAAATATATACAGCTACAGTTATTATTTCTACAATCACCGTGTCTCCACTCTTAACACGCAACAAAGAGTAACATAAACAGAAAGGTGCAAAAGCAGAATATATATATGTATTTTTTAAAACCTTTTATTCAATGTCCTAGTCAATAGCAACCTTCAACTTTAAGTAACAGGTATTGAACCCTTCAACTTTAAGTAATGGACAGCTTATTTTTCATACATTCACAACTTATTTGTAGCTTACAATAGAATGAATAAAACAGTCTACCGAATAAATGAACAGAATAGTTTTGCTACAAGTATATACATTCAAGACTAAGCAAATATCTGCTGAATTACAGTCTCTGCATTTCCATTATACTGTGCAAGAAGATGAATAGCATCTGCTCTGGGCAAAGCCAGAAATTCCTGCAAACGTAACAAAACATGTAATTAAACAAAGATAAATTGTACGTCCACTGACAAAATATCTGAAAGATTTTGACGGAATGAGTCTATATCATTACCTAAAATATCCCTATTAATAATTCAATGGGAAAAAACTCCACAAAATATTCACCGATGACATGATTTTTCAGAGAATCAGGCTTGGATAACAATTGTAATAAGAGTGATGCTATGAGTACGTAATTTTGATCCATGGGGGTTCACATAACACTCACATGGGGGTAAGGCCCACTTATGTGAACCATTATGGCCAAAAATTATGTACCACTAGCATTATTGTTGCAATAAATCTTATCCGACGTGCCCAAACCTTTGAAATGGGAGAAAGTTAAATAAATTCAAAATTATAACATGATAAATGATGATAAGAAGTAGGGACAAGCAGGACTGACCATAACTTTAAGTATAGCATTTTCATCACAACCAAGATCAGTTGATGACGTTTGAGTAGGGCTGCTACCATCTTCCTGCATCTGAGTAGTACTGGAGGATGTCTGGGATGATCCTTGAGTACAAGCATCAACGGTTGAATTACAAGCAAGATCGCCAAGCACAGGAATTCCAACTTCTCGAAGGGAATTGATCCTCAAAAGGCCTTCAAAGTGATCTTTACACATTTGAAGCTTGAACCATTCGTTATGGGTGTGGAGAGTTGCCCTTATAATCTTCATAAGCTGGGGTTCTTCAATACCTAGCCTCCCACCAATAGCAACCTTTGCACAAAAAGATGCTGTGTTAAAACCCCAAAGAGAACTCGAGTAATATATAAAGAAACAATGAAGCGTGTTTTCTAATAATATATCAGTTTCTATGTCACAAGCACAGAAAATAACCAATGCACGCCCAAACTCCCATAAAAGGAAGGGAGAAATCATAAGTAAATTTTTTCTGGCTATCCCATTAGCTTGAAAGCCAAGAACCACAGGGACGCTCCTTCCATCTCAGATTCACCTTTCATATTCCGTAACCCCGTTAAAGAAAACCACCACTGAGATGTCTCCGTTCTCCTAATGCTCATTTTTGATAAAATGTGACACAAGATGGCCCAATAATTTAGCGAAAGAGAGACAAAATTGAATTCTTGCTCATGTAAGAGAAAAAAGAAGCAAATTGAACAGTCGTAGAAGTTTCTACTTGTAGCTCTTTTTGGGGCAATCAGTAGAGTAGAAAGGAAAAATGATTGATTCATCATTATGATTACAATACCTAATGAATTAGGTTGGGAATATACAACCAGTCTCGGAAAAAAAAACCTGTCCCAACAAATAAAATTAAAGACAAATGGGAAGGAAGGGGTAATTGTTGGGATTGATTCTCTGCGTGCGTTCGTAGTTTTGGGGGGTGGGGAGAAAGTTTCCATTAATTTGGAGGACATAAAACCAGAGGAATGGTTCGGGCATCTCTGAACTGGCTTCCATCTCCTCCTCTCAGTCTCAAACTTTAATTCATCATAGGCAGAGAAATTTGAGAGAGAGGGATACCGAAATTGAACAGTTCTCCATGTAAAGAAAAAAAGCTTATATTCCTAACCCTACTTGGAGCTTTCTGTACTTGAGAATGGAATACAACCATTTCATGTAAGGAGTTGGCCAAGTAATACAGTTCTTATGACCCAACTCCCCACCCAAAAAAAAAGCAGCCTGCCAGCCCCGGCTTCACACACATGCATCAGAAAGAGGACCAAAAGAAGGTTGGGGGAATAAAAAACCAAAAGACCACCAGAACAATGTAACTTCTTCCATTCAAAAGGAAAAATAGAAAAAACTTGATCCTCTTTGCAACTTACTCACACTGACGAGAAACGATGCTAACTTCTTCGACTAGACAGTTTAAACAACATACTATAATCATCAGCCAACAAGTTGATCAAGATGAGAAAATACTTGCATTTATTTACTGTGGGAACTTCAGATAGCCTCATTCCCGGGTACAAGGATATACAATTCTAGAAATAGAGATGCATATTGTGTCTAGTTGTGGGGTATGCCAAACCTGAAGAGAGGTTGCAAGAGCTTGTAAAGGCAAGTTTTGGTGAAGTGCTTCTTCTTTAGGTCTGAGCAAAGCCAGCAATGTCTCCTTCAAGGGCTTAAGCAATGCTGGATTGCTAGCTGCCAAATGACCCAGATGAGAAGAGGCAACCCTTAGAGCACCAGAATCATCACCTAAACCAACAAGCTTCAAAAATTCAACCTGCAGCCATTGCAGAAGTCAAAATGGGTTAGTTCCAGTATTTCATTAGATGGACACGTGATCCTCTTTCAGGCTGAAGAAAGAAAGAAAATAGACCAACCTGCTTCAGTTGAAACAACAATATAGGGTTTTGAGCAAAGAAGTTTGGGTCCAAAGCATTTATTTCTGCAAAAACCTCTGCAGCCATTCCCTGGCTAGCTAGTTCCTTCATGCCCAGGACAATCTCAAATTTGTCTTTCCTCTCTGTTACCATTTCCACCATGGATGAGTCTTCAGAAGTCTGCAAAACAACAGCATTAATAGAAAGTTCATAAGCAACAATACCAAATCAGCATAATCCTGCTAATACTCTTACCAAATTTGTGTTACCGAGTAATGAAGTAGCACTAGGCTCGTGTTTTCTGCTTCCACTAAGAATTTCAGAACTGTATTCTTTTTGCTCATGTCTACCCCTCCATCGCTTGCGTTTGTTCCTTACTCCAGTTCCATGACTTCTATTTCTTTGCACAACTTCAACAGTTTCAGGTTGAAGGGTTCCACTCGTGCTACAGTCTTCATTAGGATTGGTTGTATCACAAGGGTATGGTAATGGTTTCCTGTACAACTTCAATGGTTCACTACTTTTATGTTCAGATTCAACAGAATGGTTCCCTGTAAAACAACCACAAGACTCCAATTGTTTAGTTTTCATTGTTTTAAAAGTTCTTACAATCCTGATATTGATGAGATTATCGGTCAGAGCATGAACTAGCCAAAAGAATAAAGTAAATAACAATAAGAAATAAAAAAAGGTATACCAGAATATGCGAGACCAGAGTCAACAATACCCCTATAGACACAATACTCGTGAACAAGTTCATCAAGCTTAGAAACATCTAATCTCATCCGGCATAATTCATTCTGTCACAGCAACAACAGAAGACTATTAAATCTCCATGTGTTAAAAAAGTTATGTCCATATAAAATAGAATTAGCTTCAATAGCATGCTAAATACAAAAAATAAATTATCACAAATAAAAGTTTGAGCCAGAATGCTTAAAATGATCATTGAAAGCTAACAAAATTCTTAAGGCAGGTAATCCAACACCACATGCCAATTTTATCAATTAGAAAGGCATGCAATAACCATAGTTGAGAAACATTTAAGCACAGCAAAAAAGGGACTATCTTCTGAACTCTTGGTTGCTTACTAGTTTTTCTTTATACATTGTATTGTATTATGGCAGTTTCCTCATTAAAGACTGGAGGTCCAAACAATTTCCTTATAAAGAGTGGAGTCTGGCAAATAAGTGGTTATAGGAGTAATACGTGAAAAATACTTATCGTTATTGGAGTCTTTATATTTCAACTATTGTCAATGAACCGAAATCAAATTTCCAGCACCAGAACAATATACCTGAAAATTGAAACAGGAAAATAGGAGGCCCGACGATTGAACTAACAGAAATCAATTCTAGGTCTACACTACCTCGAACCATTCCAACATTTTACTACTTTAGCAGGCTTCCCTAAAAGGACATTAATTTAAATATCAATGCTAAACTGCACATTCAAAAACTATGCAGTTATCTACCGCGAATAAAATTAGGGCCATCTTTTCCAATTCTGATACATGCAGGCTGTGGCAAGGCGATAAAATGGATATAAGCAGAGTAATTTCGGGTACTGGCTGTATGAAAGTAATATCCTGACCATTATTTTTTTATCAATAAGCATTTTGTTAATTATGTTCTAAATTGATGTCAATGCTTCTCACGGATGGTGCTATATCCTGCATATACATTTTGACAGAACTGGACTTCTACATACCAAAAGCAGAGATAGATAGTGGTCAAACTCATCCTGGTATAGTTTGGAATCCTACTAGAGTCATTTTTGACATCCCAAAAGTACTTCCTTGAAGGATCCTAAGTAGTCTTTCATAAAAGGTCATTTTGGATAATAACAAACAAAATGAAGTATGTCATCCTAGGTTTGAAGACCACGAGGTTCCACGTGGTTTAGTAAAATCATGCCAGCATCGGTGAAAGATCAGTAACTTCTACTTAAATATGACTCTAGCATATATGCAGCCTACATTTGCAGGCAAAAGGAAAGATAACTACAAGTATTCAAAAAACAAAATAACAATAACAAGTGGCAATTCTCTTTGGAGCCTTCACGCATACTTTGAAGCAGACAAACCATTTGCCTGCAGTACAAATGAAAATAATATGATAAATGATAAACTAATTCAGTAGATATTAACCTGGAATGCTTGGTAGAGATCACCCTTGGCAAATCTCAAGCTATCAACTGCCCCCTGTCTGGTAAGCTCTACTGCATGAGCAAGGGCCTGTATGTCCACCTGAAGTTCAAACCACAAATGAACAAATTCATCACTAAATAATTCAGTAATTTTGCATTAATAAAGACAGTTACAAAATCTGTAGATCTCATTCCATTTTGATAAGTAAAAATGTTCAGATTAACTTTCTAAATATCTCACCTCATTAAATGGAGGTGCTTCATATAAACTCTCCTGAGGTACTGCAGGTGGATCACGTTCTTCAAGGAGCAACCTCTCAGTAAGATCTGATATGGGTGATAAAACTCCTTGACGAAGGCAAAATCCCTTGTGTATGCTGTATATTGCACATAGAATTTTTGACAAAAATAATAAGAAATAATAAGACATTCATGCTTGAAAATATATGAGAGTATTCTGCCAAGTGAATGTGTTTTTTACCCATGTGTGTATGCATCAAGAGAGCATGGACAGAAATGTACAAAATATATTTGACCTTACTAATATAAGCAATTTATCTGAATGAAAAACAGGAGAGACCTTATCAAATATCTCAAGGTCATTGAAAAGATTGGATCGTGTGCTTGTAAATGGGACCTTAAAACAGATGACAAAAGCCCCGCAATGTCAAACCTCCTCCTTTCAGACCACTGGGACAAAAAAAAAGTAAGAACGTTAAGCCTTAACCCAGTAATCATGGGTAGCCAGATTTGGTTTACGTAAAATATAAAAATAAATAAATAAGTAAGTGAAAAAAAAATCAGTTTAGATCACAACAAAGAAGCATATTATGGTGTCTCTGTCGCATAAAGACAGTATGAAAACAAAAATGTAACTTCATTATGATAGGACCTGCACAGGATCAGCATCCTCGAAACATGGAGCTTCAAATCTTTAATTTGAACTGGTGTAACAAAAACAAATAGCTTCAGACATAACCCAATCACTAGTATGATATATGTGAAAAGAACATCCTCAAGACAAACTAGCAGTTGTTTTTCATGACAGAAGTTCAATTACAAAACTAATTTGACGTGTAAGATGTAGATGAAACAGGTATTACGTCTATGTCATTTTTTTAACACACCCAAATAAAGTGTTTCCACATTTTTAGTCGTTTCTAGCTTCTACTACCTGTGAGAATGTAAGATGTCGTGTTTGTTTTCTCGACAGAAGTTCAATTACAAAACTTATCCATATGATGAACATTGTTGGTTACAATACAGCAGTGAAGTGGTTCGACATTTTGATTCATTAGGCATTAATCATTCCTCACCCATAGGTCAATCAGGCAGCTAGGCCCAACCTTCACTGTATTCGAGTGTACCATTAAAAAAAATCTTAAACTCGTCTCTCTATCCGTTTCTCCCTATATGAACTTTATACTTCAAAATAGTTAAATGAACAGAATACTAATTCCAATTAATCAGGATCAATTTTTTATATAATAAATTAAAAATTTGCTCCATATTACTTTCAAAGCTAGAGTCGCTATGCAAAGATGAAAATGATTGTTGTTTTCTTCAATATTTTTGACAAAATATGGCGTTTAGAAAAGAATCAATAGATGTCAAGGACTCTAGTTTCTTAAATAGATCTAAATCACCATTTTGTAAAGGAAGAAATACGGAATATTTCATTCATAAAACAAAGATGTCACTCTGATGTACATCGTCTCACAAATAGCTTTAATACAAGGATTAAAGCAAATTTCAACCCTCAAGAACTGTTGTTATATGACTTCAATTAAATAGAACAGTGATGCGACGACAATGAGGCGTGTCGACAATTCGGTGTCCAACGCTTGACATTGACACGATATGATGACACGCAATTGGATACACAATGTGGCGTGTTAAAAATATCTATTGATTTTCTAAGGTCCGACTCGACCATATGGTTTCAAATAATAAGTATAATAAAATAGAATAAAAAGATAACCTACTAACCCCAACTTTGTTTCTAAAAGAAAAATCCATGTCGACGATTCAATATTAAATGCGTGACACTGACATGATTTGATGACACGCCGTTATATACACCACATGGTGTGTTAAAAATATCTATTGATTTTCTAAGGTCCGACCCTACTAGTCGATTTCAAATAATGAAATATAAGAAATCAAAAAATAAAATTAAACTAACCCTAATTTTCTATTTCTGAAAGAAAAATCGAATGGACGAGGGTTAATGGTATCTGATGTTGATGACACTGGTTTCGATGGTGTCGACTGTCAATGGCGATGAGTTTTATGAACTAATGGTAAGCTTGCAGCCTTAGCACTAAATGCTAGTTTGAGTCCCATTTAATCAAAACTCAATTTTTTTAAAATTCGTCAAAATAATTTTACACGTAAACTCAAAATTTTGTCTACCTTTTTAATCATAATATATTCTCCAAAAACATCACTATTTTCAAAATTTATTAACCCAAAAAATGGGGGTTCAAACAAGGGCAAAGTGTACTAATGAAAACCTTTTTAATGTCGTGGAAAATGGTGTGTAATTTCTATTTGAAGTATATTTTTAAATTGAAGGCAAACACACCTTTTATAGCTTGTTTGGGAGAATTTATAAGTTGTTGAAATTATAATAGAAATGAGCAATGGATAAGTGGGTAATACTTGTGGATCCTATGTAGCCAAAGTCAAAGTTTGACCTTTAAATAATAATATCATGATTATTTGAATTAAACAAGTACTTATTTGCATTACACTACCAAAAGAAAAGACGTGTGTCACTAATTTTTTGAAAAATGTCTTGTGTCAGAGCATCATATATAGTAATGATATGATCAAGTAGAGAACTTTGTGTAAAGAATTTAGTGGTTTACACTTTATAGGTAGTAAAAGTTATGATTTGTGAAAACAATAACCTAGTGATTTTTAGGTTGTTGGCTACCATGTGCTTTTGCAGAAATACTGTCCAAACAAAGAGGCAGTCGATATGAAAATAGCTTTGAGTGACTCGATGTCCTTGGGAAGCACAAAATGAATCACTATGAAACCTATGCATGGTCTTTAGATTATCGAAAGGGATTTATTCGTCAAGTCCAACTGAAAAATAATGTCTAATTTTATGTGTTTTAGTTTATTCTCTGCTGGTTTGGCCATATTATGTATGTTGTGAATGTGTATAAACCTCATTTTATATGAAAACAAATTCAGCAGAAGAATACCAACAGATGCCCCTACCTAAAACATTCAAGGGAAAGAGAGAGAGAGGATATTGCAGAATAAATCTCCTTTGTTCCATCTTTTGTATAGATAAATATTATTTCTATGTGGAGATATTATATTTTTATTTAATGACTTAATAATAGTCCTGAAAATTAAATAAGAAACATTTTCTTATTGGTTGCAAACTTCATTTTACAATATTTTTATTGGTTGGGTTATTGACCTCATTAGAATAAATGATGTTTTTTGGATAGATTCTTAATACCATCCAGATATTAGTTTCTACATTCTAAATATATGAATGTATTTCTCTCTGTCATTCTTCACCAGTTGACATAACAGACATTCAGAAATTTAGTTTCTCCCAAAAATTAAGGGTTCTTCAATGTCAACAAAACTAACACTAATCACATTGTCTAAGATTCTACAAAGAAAACCCTGTTTCAGATACAGATCCCTTAAAGTGCCACTGTCCATGTCTTTCCAAGCATGCGTCCTACATTTAAGTACCATAGGCGAGAAAATGAAGGTACTCCCCACTAAATATTATAGCTTTCTCCTTTCTATACTTGATGAAAATTGAGTCTTCCATTTTACGAAATTTAATCTTTGTGCAGTGCAGCTCCTATCTCTATGATGAACATACACGAATCCAACACAATATGGGTCGGACAGCAGACATGTAATTTTTAAAAAAGGTGAGACACGTTAATTATTTTATAGCGTAAAGCAAATAAAATTTTGTTGACTACTTAAATAATTTTTTTACTCTATTGGTTTCTTTTTCCTTTGTATTTTCATTGGAAGACCAAATGGTAAATTGATTATAAAAAAGGTCGTTCAATTTCTCTCACAATTACATAAATATGGGATTACAAAATTTACATTAAAAAAAGGCACGTTTGCTTTCAATTAAAAAACTAGACTTCAAATTAAAAAACCAGCGTTTTCCACTACAAAAATTTATGGTTTCATCTGTGCACAAATGCCATGGATACCAAGTTCACAATCCGTTCACGCAACTCGTCACCATTGGAACCATCTTCTTCGATGTCAACACCACCATCTACCCTCCTCCAGTTGATTTTTCTTTCAAAATAGAAAGCCTAAGTTACCTTATTTATCTTCTTCCAATTTTTTTTCACTATTTGAAACCAATTAGCTATGTTAATGACGTGTCGGACCCTCAAAATCAATAGAAATTTCGGACATACGACACACCACTTGGCATTTCCAATGCGTGTTGGCATCATGCTAGTGTCCGATTGCTTGCAGCCTTGCACCGAAGGTGTGTTGGTGCATCACAAATTACTATATCCCAATAGGAAATAGTTCAACCATGTTCTCTTTCTCTCTAATTACATCCCACAAACTAAAAAAGGAAGAGCAATGCATATTAATGACCACTGACAATAAAGGAAGATGACAGCACTGCCACAGCTTCAGTGGTGATCAAAATCCGTATTTTACTACATTGAATGCTTTATGTTTTCCTCACTTAGGGCTGCAGATGAGAATTATAAATCAACTCATTTATTGGATGAAATGGAATATAAGCTAGGAATACAATTCCAAAACTACTTAGAATCATCTGTTTTTGGTTTTCTATATAGTATATTCATAAAGATGTCAAACCTCCAATAGTGGGTAGTCGCCCAAAAAAGGGTACCAAAACCCACATTCCTAGCATACATTAGGAATAATTAGGATTGGAAGGTCATGAGCGATCATAACCTGGAATAGATTATGTGTGTCAATGATTTGTCCATTAAAATTAAAACAGGGAGGATACTCGTAGATTTTTTAAAAACTTTTTAACTTAGTTTAAGCTCAGCAAAAGAATATTATTCCAGCTCTTTTCATTTCTGTCTTAACAGGGGCAAGAGCATATGAGGATACCAAATCCCATCTTCACAAAGATAATGTTCCATTGATTCTACTGCCCCCATCCCCACCCCCAACCAAAATGAGAAGACAGAAAAGTATCTCCTAAGTTTCTACAATTACTGGTAAAAATTAGTTTGCATATCAATCTCCAAATCCACCCCTTAGTTTATGTATGGATCTTTTTTGTCCCCATACTGTAAGTGGATTACAATTTTTCCAGCTCTTTGAAATTATACCTGTAAACAGGATAGGAAACATTCAAAAGCACATAAATGACAAAATATAGGTGATATAACCAAGCATCTCACTGAAGTCTCCATAAAACACATGGCCCTGTTCAAACCCACATCTGAAGTTTCCTAAATGCCACCTATCCGCATTAAATGAGATTCCATGAATTAATTCACAAGTCTCACTAATAATATGAGTCCTAGTGGCACTTGCATCCAACCACATAAAAGCATGGTAGATTTCGACAGAACAAAAACATCATGCCATAAGGAAAGAAGTAGATTATTTCTTACCTCGTCTGCCACAGGTGAGTTCTGATCATCTTTGTCATAAATAAAGGCGAGAAGAACATGCTTGAATTCCTCATACGCTTCCTTAAATGAAGAAAAACAAATATCAGAGATGAATTCAGGCAAAGTGAAAACAATTATTCAACAATAAAAACTCAATGCATGAGAAAAAAACACAACTGAAAAACATTAGGGTTGAGTTTGGAGCACTGAAGTAAATATGAAAAAAAATTAGTATAAAATTAGAATAGGTAGTGGTAGGTGATTGGCGTTATTGTAGATTAAAGCGTATAATAGTCTTTAATCTTTTGTCAAAAACCTATCATTTATACAAATTATCTTATCCAGTCTAAACCCATCTCCATCCTCCGCATTATGTCAAAAGATTGATAGTTCAAATGGCACCTTTTTCGACTAAAGAATAAAGAATATCCACTTAATCCACCGTGATACCATGCTCATGCTAATTAATTCTAATTTTATACTAAATTCTTACTACGGTATAACTAGCAACAGAAACACAAAAGTACATAATTTTACCGGATAGGCATCAAGTGCACAAGGAGCAAGAGCCGTTCGCAGACAATGAATGGCAGAATCACGATCCTCATCAGTTCCTTTCCGCAACAGCTCAATGAATTTCTGTTATTTACCATTGACACATTTTCACCTCAAAACAAAATAAAACAAAAAGAACCCGCAAGCTAAAAAATCCAGAGAAAAAAACCTGTTTCTGCAAGCGGAATAGGAGGCGATGATCATCTAGGACGGATGGCGCGTGAACTCCAAGGAGATTAATGGCGGAGTCAATTTCACCGGATTCTAATAACCGTCTAATCTGACGAATCAATAATCGCGAAGCGAATGTCGTGGTTGACGACGATAACAGAGGTGATTGCGCGTCTTCGATCAACTGCTCGGATTTTGCGAAGTCGGTTACGAGTGCGTCGAGTGCTTCCCAATTGACTGCAATCGATTCCATACTGGTTCTAGTATTTTGTAGATTGAGATTTTTACTGTTTGGGGATTTATGCGGAGGCGCGTGGTGAGAGACTGGGGAGGCGGTTTTAACTGAGGGTAGGATCTACGGAAATGCAAGAAAGGCGGCGATCGAAAGTCTCAAAGGTGATACCAAGTTCCACGTATGATGCACATTATGATTGATTTTTGACATGTCGTTTTTAAAGAGAATGACGGAATAGTCCTCGATGTTTGTGGAAATTCCAAATTGAGCCCCTCTGTTTCTTTGGAACTTTAGAAAACTAGTTAATGTTGAACGTATCTCGCACATCATTATGAAATATTTTATAAGTATTAAAAAAGTACTAATATTTAAATATACGCAAATGTTAATTAATTTAGAATTAATATAAGGGAATATATAAGAGACAATAAATGTTAAAATTATTTATTTAATTTCTAATTAAGTAAAATTGAAATTTAATTGCATATATGAACGTGAATAATGAAATCAATTTCTGAATGTGAAATTTTAATTAACTTATAATTAGAATTAATAACACTAAAAATAAAATACATAGATGAAGATGAATATTAGTTCATTGAATGTGAATGTTAAATAATAGAGAATTCATATATTATTAAAAGAAAACAAGTTAAATGAATCTGTCGAATGTACATGTACATTGATGATAACTAAATGATTAAATAAATTAAATATATGTTGAAAAACGAAAAGTAAAGTATTATTGAAATAATTAAATTATAGAAAAGCGAACAGTAAGATATTATATAATCATCTAAAAAATGATTCATTTGATGTGATATTTAATATATAATAGCCAACACTTAACTGGTAGGAATTAAAATTTAGATTTTAATTTTAATTTAAGTCAATAATTAATTTTAATAATATATTTTATGAATAACAACCTTTCAACTATACATTTTATTAACTTTTATCGAAATTTATTAAAAACTTTGATATTAATCCCCACCAAGGTTTAATAAACATTTAAATCTTCATCCATTTTTAAAATGTAAGGTCATCTTCAATGCAACCGTAAATTATTTTAAATATTTCTTAAATAAGTAGAAATATTTAAAAAATATTTTCAATAAAAGCTGACATGGCCTCCATCAAGCAGACGTGAAAGACAATGTCTTGATGTAGGTATAGATGTAGGCGTTGTATAATTGTATTAGACATATGATTCATATTTTACTTTTAGAATATTATTTTTTTTCCTCTTCCAATCTATTTTCTATATCTTTATTTTAATGTTAAAAATAAGACATATATGCAAAAATATTTGAATGTAAATGAAATTCATTGGAGATTGATTTAGACTTTGTTGTCTATTTATTAGATATTAGTATTAGGGGTGTAAGTAGTTCGATTTTATCGATTTTTGACAAATTTTCAAGTCAAACCGTTTAAACCGGTTTGAGAAAAATCCAAACCTAAACCAAACCATTTTGAACTGTTTGAAAAAAATTCAAACCTAAACCTAACGATTTGGTCCGATTTTAAACCGTCGGTTTCACCGTATATTTTTTTTGTCTGTCTACTTTTATGACATTAATTCATTGAATTCAATATATATTTATATCTTACTAGTAATAAATTTAAAACAAACTAAATATATCTATTACAAATTTAAATACCAACTAAATCAAAGTGCAATCACAATAAACTAAAATATAGTTTTTTGTTTACCATTTTAGGCTAAGACATTACGATAACGTTACAATACAAGTTTACTAAATTAAATATAAAGCCCAAAAAATATAATGATGTTCAACAGGACCTCGTGATCATCATATCTAAAAAACCAAACTACTAATTAGACAGAGAGAATAACCAACTATAATAATAAATCAATTGTTTATAATATCTAAATATAACAATTAGACAAGCTTACCATTGTATATTCTTACGAATTCAGTTTTGCACATATACTCAAGCATCAATTGTTGTCACACATGACTCTTAGTCTCCATTGTCAAACAAATACATTTGTTACATTATCATAGTATTGGATACTAGATACATAAGAGAATCTTTAAAAATATGGTAATAGAAAATATAAACCACATACCACAACTTTCATTGAATTATCAAATGCTTCCACTTCATCTAAATATTGGCACAGTACNAAATTATAAATTGACAAAAATACACACAAATGACAAAATTATTGAATTTTACATATTTGGATGAATTTTCAAAAAAAATCATTTTTTTTATTTTTATATATTTTTTCGCCGGTCCGATTTGGTTTTAAACCGCAATTAAAATTCCCAAACCCAAACCAAACCCTTTTTGGTTGGGTTCAAAACCATTTCGTTGACGGATTCATGTGACACCAAATCGACGGTTTCTAAAATGCGGTTTCAGTTCAATTTTTCGATTTGATAATTTTTGCTTACAGCCCTAATTAGTGTCACGTTGATTGAAAATTCGCCTATTTAAATGAAACGTAGATTATAATTCACGGAATATTGTGAAGATTCTCTTGAGTTCCTCAACCTTAAATCTACGGGACATGTGGGTCTCCTATAGTCAATTGTACTAAAAACAGTTTTAAGTCTAGGTCCTTAATAGTAACAATAAAGAAGCTTGCTTCTATTTTTGCAACTAGAAAACAACTAAAATTACATCGAAATGAGATTTGAGAAAAAAAAGGGAACTCCGTAGAAAAGATACTAGAGGACTGTTTGATATAGATTTTAAGAATAAGTTTTGCAAAAAGTGATTTTCAAGGAGAATGTATAGTTAAAAAGTAAAAAAAAAAGTTATGCGTCCACAAATAAAATTGTTTTATTGAGAGAATGTGGGATTGAAAATTAATTATAGAAAGAAAAGAGAATTTTAAAGAATATGTACCAAATAGAACTACTACATATTTTAAAAAATAAAGGGAAACCTCAAGAAAAAACATATTTACATAGACTAAAAGGTAAGAGTATTATTACGAGGGTTTGGTTTGGACAAAGATTAAATTTTCATAGTTTTTATGATAAAAGTAAATGAAATTTGTAGTTGAAAAGCTGATAGAAATTATAGATCACATGAAATATGTCGTTGAAAATGAGTTTTAAGAAATAGAGGACAAACAATGACTATATTTAACTTGAGTTTGACGAGACTTTCACGACTGCGTATTTTTCACAGCGTACAAGGAGGCGACACTTATCAATGGATGAAACCCTTGAAAACTTCCTACTTCAAAATGACCTCATGCCAATAAAGTACATGTACTTTGAGGTCAAGAAGATGACAAACAATTCAAGGACATTGGTTGAAGGAGGTTATGGAACTGTCTTTAACGAAAGATTCAGTGGCCCTTTTGTTACAGTAAAAGATAGTGGACGCTTCTGTTGATAATGACAGAGAATTTGTAGCGACCGAGAACTTTTGA